GAGCTCGGTTCCCTGCGCCCCCACAGATGTTCTGTTTATTTGGGAGCTCTTCTCAGCCTCATTTAAGTATTTCAGAGGTGGACTCGGTGGCAGCCTTTCGCAGGGAGTTTGACACCGTCACGGTACTTGCAGTTCCCGTCAGGTACTTCTGTCTGTCTTGCACATCGCAGTTCTATTTTAGCAGCTTTGTTCTTATTCTGTCATCAGGCAGAAGAAATTAAAAATAGGGAAAAACCAAACCGAACCGAACAGGGAAGAAAGCCTTCGCTCTGTTAACTATTCTCTGTGTCTTTGACCTAACCTGACTCGTCCCAAGGTTCACCGCGGTGGTGTGGGAAGGGAAAAGGCACAGTTTAACAGACACGTTAAACAGGGCCAAGCTGCTGTTTGCTCTCGTGCTGTTTAATAAGCCCCAAGGTAAAAGGTGGAAGACACAAAGTGTTGCTTTTGCGACATTTTCCTGCTGCTGAAAATGGAGAATAGCCAAGAATCAAAGCACAAAACTGTGTGGGAGTGGGCTGTGCAAGGAACTGGGGTGGGCAGTACAAAGACTGGTCCTGTAGAAAGGGAATAACCCAGACTTTGATCTCCCGAGCGCGGTGGCAGGGAGGTTTGTGCGTTCCAGCTGGAGCAGAGCGTCTGGGTGGAGAAAAGCAGAGGAGGATGCTCAGGCAGAGGTGAAGGGGCCGAAAAGCAGCATCTCAAACAGAGATTCTGTACAAAAACGGTCCTGGTTTGGACATCGCAACTTTTAATTTAAAGAAGATCTTATAAATTCCTTCCTGATGAGATAACGTGGCAGTGGTTGTAGTGTACAGATGGCGCGGTTTATTTACTAACTGTATTTTTTACGTCAGCTGGCCGTAACATTTTAGTAGTACCTAAATATGCATCTTAAGTGCGTCTCTCTAGGCATCTGTGCTGGAAAATTCAGGCCATGGTTGCTTTGAACTGCTTCGACTGCTGTTTTCTTTAAAACCTTACAGCATGGCTGTGAAAATAAATACCTCCTAGCAAAATCAAGGGGGACTGTGCTATCCTAATCTTTATTACGATTCAGTTGGCAGGGCACGGATTTAAAGCATTTGGCGAAATCAGACCAAAGTCTGAAATAAAAAATACCAAAATAATGTGAATGGCTATAAAAACCAACTGTGTGAGTGAAACGAGCTCAGCTCAGAGGTCACACGTGTAATAAAAGCACAGCTGTCACGTCCAGCCTTCCCAGATACCTGTTTGGGCTTAATCATTCCTTGTCCGTTCTAGAACAAACAGTGCTACCGGGGGGTTATTCTCTGCCTGCTGAGTATCGGCATGGAATCTCCTGCCAGAATACGTCACGTCTCCTGTTTGCCACTCCACCTCTGGTGCAGGATGCGCGCAGGTAACAGCGAAGTTTGGCTCACAGCGCGCCTCGAGCACCCACCAGAGCGGGGAGTTGTAGGTTCCTTCCCCAGGTCTGGCTGCTCTTCACCCATTTGGTGCTCGATGACTTTGCTTCGCAGAGGCTTGAATCTAAAACGCAGTGAACAGACCCGCCATCGGGTTTGGGACTTCTTCATCCAAAGAAGTTTTGTCTTTGGCAGCAGCGCTGGCAAAAGTCACAGCGGACTCGCAGTGTGAGGGCAGGGCCTGAGCTGAGCTGGGGTCCTGCCCCTTTTTGGTGCTGGTCTGCATGGGATGTTCACTTTGGTGCCTCAGTTGTGTAAGCACTTGAGGCGTCTTCCAGGTCGTTCCTTGGTGCCCTGTGAAGGTGGATGAGGGAGCAAGCTCTGAGACTGCGGGTGGCAGCAGCACTGAGTGCAGGGACAGAAGTCGCCTGCTGGGGAGAGCCTTGGCTGCAATTCCTGTCACTGTTCTTTGTCACTCTGATGTTGCCTGCTTGGGACTTTGGTGTACTCTTCCTTCTTGTATCGGCACCCGCAGTCCTTCCTCTTCCTTGTTTGTTTCTTACTTTCCTCTTTAGCAGGGAAATTTGGGCACCCTCTACTTTCTACCAGTTAAAAATGAACATACGGTTTGTGTATGCAGCCCATTCACCGCTTGCTTTAATTAGCAAAAAGCAACCAGAATGCGTTCATTTAAATAAGCAATTTTCTGAATTCCAAAACTTTGCACGTCGTTATTTTTAACCTGATTTCCTAGGGAAAGTGTTCCTGCAATCAGGTCTCACTAACCACCCACTGTTAATCACTTCAGGAGCCTTCGAGCTGATCGCAGCCCTGGGCAGGGCAGGGGTCTCAGGAAACCCACGGCGTCACAAGCACAGACAGGCAGGGAGGAGGGAGAGGACCTGGTCCCAGGCTGGATGAGGCCTCACAGGGTCAGCCCTTGCTGCTGGAGAGAGGATCCGCATGGAGGAGGCTTCAGGAAGGGGCTGTTGGCAGCGGGGCACTGGTGGGAACCAGAGATGTAGGCAGGAAACGCCAGTGCAGGGAGAGATGCCCTTCATCCGCTATCTTTATGGCTGCTTCTGGGCTCTTCTTGACATCCCTCTCAGGAGAACACCTCCAAATTGAGAGCAAAACCACTCCACAACAGTGAACTGGCCTTTTCCTTTGCCCTCGGATGTTCCTTCCGCACCTCTTTGCACGGTCTGTGACCGCTTGGCCTCGGCCCTTGGCTTTCTTGTGCAGCCAGGCCCTCTCTTCTCTGTGCTTCTGGACACCCCAAATCACGTTGTCCTGGACCCCGAACACCAGCCAAAGCCCCTCAGCTCTGCCATGGTACGGGATAGCTGTCTGAATGGATATACCCACGAAACAGAGCGAGACACCAGAGCCGGCGTGGATGGGCTTGGGTCTCGGCTGTGCTGTGGCACACAGGTGCCGTGGGTGCCGTTGTGTGCTGTGGACAACCCTTTCAGTGCCGTGAAGGCACTGCACAGACGTGCTGGTGATGTTAGCAGTCTGAAGGCGAAGAATGCGCCTCAAGATAAACTGGTTTTGGGGGTTTTTATTGCACAGAATGTGACACAAATAAAGCCCAGAGTCCGCGGGAAATGCGGTTTTTCTGGTTGTGTCCTTTTATTCTTTCAACAGCAGAATTAACAACATGCTGCGATGTCACCCGGTGGTGGGACCTTGTTTAAAGGGGAAAAAAAGGAAAACAAAATGTAGAACAGCCAGTAGACAGATGCTGCAGCTGGCTGTACGAATCATGACAGGGTAAATTCAATCCCTGACAACCTTCTGAAGTTACGGTATGGAAGAGATGAGCTCGGCTTTGGCTTGGCATTATTTCTCAGACCTCTTTGCATTTTGTCTTGCTTTTTAATGGTAGATACGTCACCCCCCTCGGTTTGACTGAAGGGAAACTCTTGTTGTGTGGACCCAGTCACGGCAGCGCAGCACAAGTTTGGGGATGGGGCTGTTTGGAAATGGCAGTTTCAGTGTAGGTGCCTGCAGCGGGAGCACTGATTCTGGGGATGAGCACAGGTTGGTGAAGTGTCTGGTCACTTTTGGAAAGGGATGTGCTGGCCTGTCCAGGAGACAGAAAAGCATCCACGTTCCAGTATCTGGGCACCTTTTATAGTAATTCAGTCTGCTTCAGCTTCAGTGTTACACCCACTACTGCTGCTCCGTAAGCTGTTTCAGTGATTAAATAATGGCAGTGTTACACCCACTACTGCTGCTCCGTAAGCACTTTCAGTGATTAAATAATGGTGTTGCTATTAGAAGTGTATTTCCAGCTATTCCTAGAAAAATAGTACTTACTTAAACTAATAAAAAACCCCTTTTCTTTCTTAACCGGTCAGCTCGATTTCTGTTTTGCTTAAGCAGATATTGAAATCCTGTCTGTGTCATTTGTATTGTTAATAAATTGCAGGACTTTATACCACATCGCATTACTCTACAGGAGATAGATTTGAACGACATAAAGGTACAATGTACGTACATTTTTAACAGCGAGAAGTCATTTTCCAACATAATAGCCAAAATCAAGCACCGTGGAGCTATTAGCAGTAAATTGAATGTTTTTGTGTGTAATTTAGTACAAATACGGACAAGTGGGGAAGGAAACCAGCCCAACCCGAACAGCACAGGCACACTCACTGGTCTCTGGTTTAGCGGCGCAGAGGCGCAGGTTTTTGGGGTGTGTGTTTCTGTGCCCACCTCAGTCGCACTCCGTTCCTTTGGCCGTGCTATCAGCACATCCCCTGTCACAGACGTCCCCTGTCACAGACCTCCCGTGCCGTGGTGCCCCGGGCAGCTGGAGCTTGGCCGGGGCAGATGCCCCTTTCAGCTCCTTGAGCGCTGGGCTGTACTGTTGGCATTGCTACCCCCATCTCCATGGCAGCCGTGAGCGGAGCGAGCAGATACAGTCACCAAAGGATCATAGCTTGTTCCGTCTCTAACTTGCCATCTGTCAACTGTGCGTGATGGATTCAGAAACCAATTTAAGAGCAGCAGCAGCCGGCCGATGATTTTTGCTTGTATTAAAGCGACAGTGGATGAGGATGCAGATCAGTTGGCGCTTCAGTGGGATCTTAGTTTCTGTTTTTCCCTCCTTAATTGTAGCGGTTTGGCTCCAGCGCTCTCTCAGACATCGCTGAAACCCTTTGGACAAATCCAAATGACCGGTGTCGTCTGCTGCTCTTGCTCGGGTGTGGGTGCTCCTTGCGCTTTCCCTCTCTGCTGTCAGCTCAGCCCTGTGTGCTGCTTCCCAATTGCGATGTTGCTCCGGCTTTCACAGCTGCTCTGTAATGAAACCTAAATATTCTCCACAGCGTTAAACAGTGAATTCGTGAGGCTGACAGCAAAGGTACCGTGCACACACGAGTGTGGTTTGGTGACGCTCATCGCTGCGCTTTCCTTAATGGTAGCAATGGGATCGTGTGCAAGTCTGGGGGTAAATTCAATGTGTGGTCACCGAGCCCTCTGAATAACGAACTCGTGTGCCTTTTCACTGCGGAGGTTGGGTTGAACCTAGAGTTTAGCAGCGGGGGCGAGGAGATTGGCCCAGTTGTAAATAATCTATTTATTGGTTGATTTTTCCAGATCCTGACATTGATGCTGCCACTGCCATGATGCTTTTGAATACTCCCCCTGAGATACAAGCAGGTTGTGAGTAGATATTTCTATAGCATATAGCAACATAGACGTGTAAAGTTAATGATCTCTTTTATAAGTATACAGCGTACCAGATAAAAAGAAGGATTTAATGAAGAAATATAACTTCCCTTTAGACCCTTACACTCCCTTGACCCTTACATGAGTATAATTTTGTGGTAATCTGTGATCTCTAATGTAAAAGAGGGGTTATTGTTATTCATGACATAGAGATAATTAACGTACTGTTATCCATACCGACAGAGAGACCTGGGGCAATAGCCAGGAGAAAGGCAGAGCAAGAGAGCGAAGGGGACGTGGCATATGGTTTTGTTTTCATTTTGTTCTGATGTGACTCCGGTCATGTGAGCTACCACAGCCATCTGGACCCTTGCCACGCGCTTGGGCACCGCTTCAGCTCCGATCTTGCACGCATCCTGCCCGCGTTGCCTTCGTGCCCAGTCTGGTGCAAGGCGGCAGGCAGGCTCCGGGAGCAAGGAGGGCTCTCATTTCCTGCCGGTGCTGCGCCCAGACCCCAGGTTCGGATCCTGGGTATCAACACAGCACCGAAGGAGCCTTGGCCCCACTGTACCGGGCTGTGCAGATAGGATGGGGATCATCCTGTCAGCTGTTGGAGGAAGCCATGGAGGAAAACGGCCGCGCAGAAGCGGGGAGCACACAAAAACAACGTCTCGCTGGTCAGCTACTGTCATTGCTCGTGCAACCAAATCCAGATTCCGGGGGAAGCCTTGACTCGCGCTTTGGTACCCTGCCTGGGGAAGAGTCAGTCGCCATCAGAGCATTGCCCTGCGGCCGAGGAGAGCTGTTGTCAGCTGCCGTGAGAGCCTGCTTAGAAACGCCTCTGGAGAGGCTCCTTCCTCTCTGTCCTGCAAAGGGAAGAGCAGTCCTGTCCTGAACAGCCTGCAGGGACCACACACGGTAAAAGGGCCAGCAGGCCCAGCTGTGTGTGAGCAGGGAAAAGGAAAGGTTTTAGCAGGGAGAGGAGGCTGTCGTTGGGCTCAGTGGGGAGCAATCTTCAAAGGATCAGGAATTTAGAGAAGCCGGGTTTGTGGGGAAGAGAAAAGGGGGAAAGAAGTTGAGGTAGAAAGAGAGTGCAGGGGTAACAGGGTATGCAAGAGAGGGAAGGAGAAATAAAGCGGTGTATGCATGAAAAAGGATGGGGAAAACAGAATACTCTGAACTGGAGGAACTGGAGAGCAGGAGAAGATTGTGGACAAGAAAGGAAGGAGATCCACGTGCTAAACACACTGACCATTCTGATCACAGGCGCATATTTGCCAACATTGCAGGTGGTTTTTTTACCATTGCATGGAAGTGATTTGGAGACTCAGGCATTGTCATTTCACAGAGATCATCGCTGCAGGTCGACAAATGCCTCACTGCTGTTTGAGTTGGTCGAGGTCATTAGTTTGAAGGAAATCTCAGCCTTCTACAAGCTTGGTGTATCTCTCCTCCCACATCACCTTGCCAGCGGGATCAGGATGTCGAAAGCGAGAGGAAGATGGAAGCAGAAAGATGATGGCTCCTTGTCCACGTCGCCCCCTCCTCAATGTCCACAAGTAACGAGGCCTTGGTGCCTTTAGACTGAGCTGCAGAGTCTGCTCCCAGGGTCACGGATCCTTCAAACCTTGGGCGGGATGGGCTGGTGCTAGGGGGACAGGGACCAAGTTTTCATCATAACCTCAGAGGTTCTCTGAATGCAAAGGAGAAATATTTGTGTGTGTGTGAATGGACACCTGAAGACGTGGATCAGCCTGTCCTGTGAATTGCAGTTGGATCTCACTGATCTGCCGTGCTAGGAAATCCTCAGGCAACTTAAAGCAAATTAATCACATCTGCGCATTTAGAAACAACTGCATGAAAAATCACATTTAAAATCAGTCTTCAAATAAAAGGTAATGGGGCTGTGAACATTTCATCGCGGTGCTGAGCATCATCCAGAAGCTCAGGGCTCATTCTCTGCTGTCGGTGACCGCAGTGCTCTGTAACTCCAGCAGTGAGCGATGCTGGCTGGCGCTGCTCGATCCCTTGAGGACGGGCAGTCGTGTTCATGGTATCAGTGCGGTGTCCAGTCCGGGCTGCAGAGTGCCCACCTCGTACCATGCTGGCCTGGAGGGAGAGGCGTGGTTTACAGAGTGCCCAAAGGTGTCCACGGCTGACTGAAAGCAGCCTTTGGGTCTGAAGGTCTGTGCCAGGTGCTTCCACGGCAAAGACAGTCACACAAAGCAGAACATGGGTTATATATTTTCTATATTCTATATTACATTTATATTATATTACATACTATATACTATATACTATATATTGTATAGGCATGTGAATGCTGAAAGCATCTTTAGGATGAAGTGAGCTACAGCCATTGTTCACAGTCTTATTAAAATTTATTCTTTTAATGAAGTCATCAGAAGGGAATCCCATCTCAGTGGTGTTAGAAAATCCAGAGTAAACCATTGCTGCTTGGTAACAGATTGGTTAATTAGGTTTGACCATCTGAAATTCCATTCCCATGTGTGAAACGCAGCTAACAACCACACGTGAATTTTAAAATCGGCTTTTGCTTTTATATGAAATCATGAAACAGCGTCTGAGCTGACACAAACGTTGCTTACCCTTTACCCCAGTCACCCCGTACTTCAGGTTTTTTGCAAAAAAAAGGCAGAATAAGAGAGTTAAACACCGTTACTAGGAGTATTTTGTGTTTGCGAGGGTTTTACTTTGTGGATTCATTAAGCTGGTGGTTCGCATTGTCACTGAAGGCTGGAAAGGAGGCAGCTGTAGTGGGTGTGTTGACATGCTAACACTTTGCAGTGTTTCCACAGACCAAATCTCTAGGTTGTAACTGGAGGCAGAGGTTCCCAGTACCAGCTCTGTGCAGGAGTCTACTGAAAGATACGATCCAGCTGGCACAAGAACACAGCGTGACAGATACCACGGTGTGCTAAGGAAGGGCCTGTAGGAACATCGTTTTAATACTCTTTTTTTGCTTCACTTTATGGAAGTCCTTGGATCTCATCAACTTTTGTAAGGTTTGATTATGTTTAAAAAGAAACAGCCACTGAAACACCCACTTCTTCAGTAGCAGCCGTCACAAGTTACGAATACCTTGAGTTTTATTAGCAGTTCATGAATATTAATTCCAAATACATGGATTGCATTGAAAACTGTGGCATTCCCGACTCAGGAGTGTGTCGTCCTGAGCATGGCATTTCTTAATTTCTTGATTCCTTCAAGAGGTCTACCAATACTGAACCTCTGTACCTCTAGCATTGCACCCCGATGAAATGTGCTTTTTAAGCTAATGCAAGTGGGTTGTGTACGTGGATGATGTATTCACAGGAATCAAGTGACACAGAATTGCCTAAACAACAGCCAGAAATCCTCCAAATAGGATCAGGTAGAACCTGCTGCTTTCTTGGGGGGTTTTTACTGTGTTTGAAAGTGGTAACTGCAGTGTTTGGTTGGTGCTGATTGTGGACAGGTCACTCACTACAGCTCACTGTGCAGCTTCCAGCCGAACTTCCAGTATCAGAAAACGATGCATCGGTGACTGCGAGAGGCTTCATAAAGCTGTTTTTGCTGACAGTTCTCTATCAGTGTGAAAACTGGGAAAAGGCATTTTCATAGGGTAGAAACTTCCCCTTGCAGTTGCTGGGATGTTTTTTTGGGAATGGCATCCTCAACCTCTTTTAAAGAGGATTTTTATTCTGTTTACTTCAGTGTTTCAGTATTAAGCCATTAAAGTGAGGAAATACTGGAAAGAAAACTCACTTTTATGAAATACTTTCTCCTTCTTTCTCCCCACTCCTTATGTTTTGATGTAGCAGCATGGTTTGGTTTGTTGTTGAGCAGCACCACCACCATGAGGAATCGCTCGCAGTGGTTTTGTACACAAAACTACCTGGGAAGATGGGATTATTGCACTGAGTGTCCTTAGAAGAGGTGTGGGTGTGACAGGACGGGCAGGGTGTTCTCTCCCCTTCATCTCCCTCCTCAGATTTCTGTTTGGAGCAAGCGGCTGTTGGATGAGCCCTTGGTTTGTGGTTGGTTAGGAAACAGACTGTGGGGTGTAGGAGCTGTAGGGTTGTCCTTGAGCAGCAAAGTCGAAGTTTTTGGGCAGATGGCACCAAATTTATGCCTGGGATGAGAGAGCTGAAGTGAATTAAGTTACACGTTTGGCAGGGAGCATTTGCTTTTGGCAACCTTGGTGCCCCATCAGTTCTGTACCATGAGCAGTTTCCTACTTTCAGTTTCTGTAGCCTGAGATGAAGCATTCTGCTAAACACTGATATTAGCAGAAACTCCGTATCTCTTGTCTGTAACCGTTTCCCCTGCGCTGCAGGAGACGAGTCAGGGGAGAGCCTGAGGTAAATGTGTGTGCCACAAGACAACAGCAGAGGCTCTCTGGATGCCTTCATACTCCAGTATTGCTCTGTTTTGAAGTTTGTTGTCAGTAAATACTACTCAGTCTTCCTCACTAGTCTGAGCGCTGGCTGCCCTGAGCTAGACACTTGGATGCAGGGTGTGCTTGTTTCCCAGACGACATCGAGAACGTGTTTGTTACCCCTCCTTCATTTCCTTGGTGTACAACAGGTCTCTCTCACCGCTGGTACTTCATTAACTGCCACGTGCCAGCATTAACCAAGGAGCTGCTGTACCTGGCGAGCTGTGGAGGTGTCTGGTGACTGTTGAGTATTTCCTCCTGGTTTTCAGTCTCGCCAAGTTGCTGTGTTGTCTGTGAGGAGATGGAATCCTCAGGGAGGACCCAGTCTCAGGTGGTTTTGGTAATTGCCAACGTCTTGGCTGAGGTTGTTGGCTCAGCTGGATGGGGAAGTTTGCTTTGCCCACACACACTTGCAGGTAGGAGACGATGGATGAGCTGTGATGCCTGTTGAGCTGTGATGGGGAAGCTGGCTACAGAGGACAGATTATTCCCCCCTTGGAGAGATGCAGCCTTGGTTTTTGGTGTGGGGTTGTCTCTCTCCTCAGTGCAGACCTGCAGTGCCTGCAGATCCTGCTCAGGCTGTGGGATTCCTCCAGAGCGGCACAAGATAAAACCCATGTCCCTGTTCATGCAGCAGGTGAGGGGCAGACTCTGTACGTGGTTAGCTCTGCTCCAGTGCAAGCATTGCCTGGGTTTAAGCTTCCTGAGAGCAGGATGAGATCCAGAGCCTCCTTGAGAGCACAGCAGTGAAGGAAGCTGAAAGATGAATAATGGTTTTGTTGTTTCAGACTCTTGGAACGTTTTGTGAAAGAGGAATTTGTATCAAAGAGATGCACAGGTCCTTCTGCACCGTTGTCTGGAGCGGAGTTCCTCAGACATAAACATCTCCGGGCACTTGAGCACCAAAGGTGCAAATTGCATTTCACTTCTGCCTAGGAATGGGGAACCACGTAACCTGCCTGTGCCGCTGGGTCAAGGAGCATGAGAAGAGAGGAGACTGGGCTGGAAGGTGTTAGTGCAGACTGGCACCGATTGGTGATATTACCTTACCTCCACACGTTGAATCTTCCATCTAAAGTATAAATACTTCTCCTCGAAGTATGGGTTTGAAACGTAATTAAAGCTTATAAGGCATGAATGTATCTCTGGAATAAAAGCGCCAGGTATTTTCCAGTAAATCATGTATAACCCTTTGGAAGTACCAACATGTGAAAATAATTCCTTGGGTAATAAGTAGCCACCTTCGTACAGCCTGCACAAAGGGTCTGGGTAGCAGGGGCAATGTGTTAGCAGTGTGGATACATACTATGTTTAAATAAAATACTTGGTGTCATTTGCAGCAAGGTGGAGGTTGGTCTCTTCTCCCAATAACAAGCAATAGGATAAGGGGAAATGGCCTCAAATTGTGCCAGGGGAGGTTTAGGTTGGATATTAGGGACAATTTCTGCACCAAAAGGGTTGTCAAGCACTGGAAGGGGCTGCCCAGGGCAGTGGTGGAGTCCCCATCCCTGGAGGGGTTCAACAGATGGGACATGAGTGCTTGGGGACATGGTTTGGTGATGGGGGTTGGCAGTGCTGGGTCTATGGTTGGACTCGATGATCCTAAAGGTCTTTTCCAACCTAGGCAATGCTGTGGTTTTGGGAAGGATGGGTGTTGATGCTTTGAATTAGGGATGTGTGAGCAGTACAGTCCAGTCTTACAGTGGCACATTGGTTGTGTGGATAACTAGAAATTAATACCTTCCATCACTGAATTATCTTGGTCCCGTTTTTCATTTGAGGTTTTGAATGCTACAGAAACCTCATTTCCCAGCAAGCCGTGGTGTTTTGGGTGTTTTCATGCTGGCTCCAGGTGTTTACTGAGAGGATGCCCTGCATCACCCAGTGTTCCTCATCAGGCCATCCCTTGTGTACCTCAACTGGCGATGGGGTGGTACCGTCATTTGATGGTTTTGGAAAACAGAAATACAAGCCAGCAGCAATAACACTGCTGCTGCAAGCTGCAGTGGTTACTGAGTTCGAGTGGTGATTTCAGTGTACAGAGCTGTGCCGCAGAGGAAGAGGCCCCTCCTGGCACCAGTGGTCCTGTGGGGGGGGGTGTTGACATGTGAAGCTTTCAGGAGTGTTCCTCAATAGCACCCCGTGACTTGCAGACCTGCAGAGGGTCGAGGGAACCGCAGGATGGGTTCAGTGGGGATGTCAATACGCAGAGAGTCCATGCTAGGAGACTTGGCAGTGTATTTTTATACATAGGAGCGCAGGAAAAAGGGAACTCAGAGGAGGTAAAAAAGGAAAGATACTGGATTATCTTTAGAGAGGTGATGGGGATGTGAACAGGACTTTATGAAGAGGCACTGGGAGTTGTTAATAGAGAAAGAGAGGGGAGGAGAGGAGAAGGGACAAGATCAGGTAACTCTGCACAGACCGGATAGCGAGGTAGCCATGGGGAGCCTGTTGTGCTCCTTTTGCAGTAGAGCTGTCGGTGTGTTTGCTTTGAAATTTGTGTGTGTGTGCGTATGTAGGCAACATCCATGGCTAACTGACACATGGCTCTGTGTGGATGCATGAGTGTTTCACTTCAATATGAAACTGGTTTGTATCAGAGTAAAGGCAAAATTCCCAGGTCTTTCTTGGTCAAAACTCCTGGTTCGTTTCTTTTAATGGGATTTTGCACATGTGGAGAAACGTGCTGTGTAATGCAGTACAAAACCTGTCCCTGTTAAAAGCCTGTTGGAGACACCATGCCCATTGGAAATGATGTCTTATTTATTGATGTTCAGTATTCAGCAGGTTTGTCTGTTGCTTTATCTGTTACCAGTGCATTTTAGTTCAGCCACGTCCTTGAGCAGACTGATATTTGTTATGACACCGGTATTTTGGCCATCCTAAGGTCCTGCTGTCGAAACAAACACAAGAAGACATTCAGATTCCGGAGTTTTTAGCCAGATAACGTTCCTGTACGGTATCTCCAAACCCAGACACCGGAGCACTGAAAGCCTGGTGGTGTCCCCTGAGCAGCACGGATCTGATCGATTCTCGTAATCCAGCGCTGCACAACGTCTGAAGTATAAATAGCAACACACAATTTTTATATTACTGTGGTCGTTGAGAGCTGACCCTGGTTGTTAAAAGCTGGGCTCTGTAATTTTAGCCATTAGAGGCTGTACTTAAGCGCCCGAGTGGAAGTGACCTGTTCTTCAGAGGGGCTCAAAGGAGGGTGGGTGTAGGCAGGGACGGGATTTGATGTGGGGTGCGGTGCTCCCAGCAGCAGGAGGAAGAGGAGTGTGTTCCCAGAACCAGGCTGTGCGGTGCGGGGTGCAGCAGGGTGAGCACGGGGTACGGGAAGGGAGGTGTGGGTCCGGTGTGGTGCTGATGGGAAGTGGTAATGTACCTCCTCAGGTCAGAAGTCGTGTACCTCTGAGCCCGTTTCTGTCCCTTTGGGGTGTGGGTGTTTGAAGCTGGGCATGTGAAGTGTGTGTGTCCATCCTTAGTCTGGATGGCTTCTCTAGTCTGCCTGTAATTTGTTTAAAGATAAATTTCTGTAGGTGTGTATAAAGTGATATGGTTTACATTGATCTGATATGTATTTATATAATGTCTGTATGTTTAAAAATCATCCATCCAGAGTAATGATCATCGCTCTCTTTGGACACTCTCTAGCAGGGGAAGTTACGGTATCATGACTTACAGTAAAGAGAAAATTCTTTACTTCTAGTAAGGAAGTGGGCAAGCAGGCGAGTGTGGGTGTTAAGGAAGCAGTTTGGGTTGAGGCTGTCGGAGGTTCCTGTCCCAGCCTGAAGGGACACAGAGCTGTACCTAGTCCCTGTAAGCGCCTGGGATCAGACCTGTGTTCACAAGTCCTGCATCCACAGCAGAGGAGGAAGGTGGTGGAGATCTGCTAAGGACAGACTCCTCCCTTGGTGAGGTCCCGGTGGTGCATCCTCTGCTCTCCTCCTGCTGAGCCGCACACAGAGCGTGTCTGGAGGAAGAGAAGTGCAGGCTGCAGGTGAAAAGCTCGTCCGGAGCTGCAGGTTTGATGTACAGCCAAGGGAAAGGCCCCGGTGAGATCTCCACAGTGGCCACTACCAGCACAGATGGGTGTCGTGGTGTCCCTGTGCCACGTCAGATGGGGACGGCTGCTGGGGGACGGCCGTGTGTGTGCTGGAGATGTCCGGCTGCTGTTGGGAGGGGTGGCAGAGGCCGTCAGTGGTGAGAGAGGGGCTAACGAGTGGTATGGGGCTAACGAGTGGTATGGGGCTAACGAGTGCTACAGAGCTAATGCCTTTTTA